GGACTAGACCGAAACTAGACCGAGACTAGACCGAGACTAAACAAGGGCTAGACCGGGACTAGACCGTGATTAGACCAGGACTAGACCGGGACTAGACCGGGACCAGACCGGGACTAGACCGTGATTAGACCAGGACCAGACCGGTATTAGACCAGGACTAGACCGGGACTGATCCAGTGTCATTAGCGGAGTAGAAATATATATACGCCCCAGTCGTCGACCCGATCTCCTCCTTTGATGTTTTATGTCATAAAAACGCTCTCTCAGTCTGGTCTGATATTGTTTTCGGGAAAAAGACCGGGACCGGGCTCTTGTTTCCAGGGCAACGGACGCGCGTCAAGTATTTTTGTCCCGTTCGTTCCACGGCGTCAAAGATGCGCGTCGGGGGCGTCTAAACTCAAATGCAAAGGCGTCCAAATAGAGGCGTCAAGGCGTTTTTTGACGCTTTGGTGTGAACGGCCCTTAAAGGTTGTATAGAGGATCGAGAAATCGACTGTTTGTCCTTTTTCAAATGTTGCGCATGCGTGAAACCACCCCCCCCTACAGCTCCTACGTAGAAACGCCTTCTCCCGCCTCCTCACTACGCCAGAAACAGGTTTGTTTACAGCCGGTGAGCTGCAATGACTTGTAAACAACTAACTACAGTGTTGGTTAGGCAAGGCGGAGAAGTGAGGAGCGGGGGGAGCGGTGTGCGGACATTTCGTTCGCGGACGAGAAGTGAGGAGCAGGGAGAAGAGCGGAGCAGGGAGAGAGGAGAGAGGAGAGAGGAGAGGGAGCGGTGCGCGGAGATTCCGTGCCCGTAGAAGTGAGGAGAAGGGGGAAGAGCGGAACGGTCAGCGGGGACAGGAGTAGGAAAGGGGAGCAGAGAAGGTTGCGCGGAGATTCAGTGCGAATGAACTAGCTACAACACGCAGCAGCAAGCGGACTCTTTCTTTGCCTTGAAAATTACGTTTCAGACATAGGATATCGCTTTCGTATCCTGAAAAACGTTTGACTAGCTCTTGGAAATAAAGTACGTTTTCATAATAAGCAGAAGTTACCTGTCCAGGAGTAATTTGGCGACCAATGCGTCAGTCTTTAGACCCTGCGTCTGCTTCAGTCGCGCCATCGCTGGAATGAATCTACAAGAATCACCTTAGTTTGGCTTCGCTGCTTTTCCCCTTGTCTTCTTCTTTCAGCGACCTCAAAAACGGACTTTCTTTTGCGGCGAACTGCTCCTGGATTCTTGTCTGCCATTGCAACAAACTTTGTGCTAACTGCGAGGAAGATATAGGTCAAAAAAAAGCCGCTAAGAACTGTTGCGTTGGTGGAGTAAACAGCGTCTGTGCGTCTTGCGTCTGTGGACTGCGTGACAGGCGTACGTAAACCACGTACCGGCGGCGCGCAGGCAGGTCAGTTACGCTAGAAACGTAGGGAGTTTGATTGATAGCCTGTCAGCTAACAGATAACGAGGCAATGTCGTTATCTATTGGCAAATGTTTAGCTGGCCCCACCACGTCCAGAGTTGATGAATTTTTATTCTCTTTTTTTTGGTCATCATAATTACAAGGCTACTGCACCTCTATAATGCTATCATGACAACTGAAACAAAAAAAACAAAAAAAAAATCCTCCATACAACCTTTAAGACAGTAAAAAAAAATCAAAATAAAAAAATAAAAAAGCATGCTCCCCGAGGTCAAACGCGCCCCCCTTGACGGAGCCTCGCGCCCCCCTGTATTTGAGAAGCACTGAAGTAATGCAATAGTAATGTAATGCCTTACATTTTAAATGCAGTAATATTGTAATGTAACGAATTACTTTGAAATGACAGTAATAAGTAATAAATAACGCATTACGTTTTTAAAGTAACTTGCCCAACAGTGTGTGTGACTGAGGAGTGAATATGTTAGATAAGATGTCACTCCAAGAGAACTGAACTATAGCATTTATAATGCATCATCAGTGTAACAGTGACGCCAACATTAATGAATTTTATTAGATTTCTGTTTTACTCACACACTGACACAACAATAAACCTTGATAAAAAAAAAAAAAAAAGTAAACATTGACGTAAACTGTAGGGATGGGACAAGATCTTGTGAGACAAAATCCCCAGAAGTCCATGTTTTTATGTCTGGATTGAATAAAAAAGTTAAAGAAGTAGCTAGTGATTTCAGCATTGAGTTAAGTACTGGCACGTAAAGCTTTTGAGAATCTGTAGTGCCAGAAAGCAGTGCGACAATGACAGCAGAACTATTAATCGTGAATGATTATACTTTTGTGATGTTAATGTACACTGTGTTTGTACACCTATACATACTATACAGACTGTTGTAAAGATGTCCTTCACTCCTACATATATTGATGAAATCCAGCTGATGACGCACCTAATTCTTAATGTGTGTTTGTGTGAGTTCTACGCCACCGTACGACCAAATCAAACAGCAATTAGAGCAAACAAATCAGCTAATGGATAAAATGGTCACCTGCATTGTACTAATGTGACGGTCCATGATTACAATCAAAACAAATATGGACACAAGGCCCAAAGAGAATACATGTTAATTAATGTATTCACAATTGAGTCTGTCCACAAGAACACTTGACATAGCCATATTGAGTAGGATCACATGATTCTAAAAATCATTATTATTGGACATTAGTGAGCACCACCTCAAATTCTAACTCACATATATAAATCCCAAATAATGAAACTGTCTCCATCTAATCCTGTTGGCCGACATTCATGACAACTACTTTCAAGTCAGTTTTCATCAATTCCATACTGGATATCTGGGAAAAGGGTGGGTGGTGTCCAAAAAAAAAAAAAACATATTTGATTTTTCCAAAGACTAAACCAAGATTACAGTTATATTGTATTGAGTCCCTTTATGTATGCTTTCACACTCCCCTGTGATTAGCTAAATCTGAGAGAGTAGAGCCATAGAGGCCAGCCACGTAACCTGGGATGACCAACAATGTTTATCTGTTTGATGACCATCACCTCTGTATCTCCTCTGCAGTCCAAAACATCTCATTCAGGACTCTCTGACTTTATTTCCTCCACTTCTTCTTCCATAACGTGCACATGTCATAGGGACTTGATGTCCGTCAATAGTACAAATACTATACCAAAATGAATGGATCTCAGTGTCCCTCATCCACACAAAGATGTTATTAGCCATCATGGACCTTTCCAGAAAACCTCACCAAAAGCTCTATTCAAGGCCAACATCACCAAATACGGTCTCCCAGGAACTGCTTTTTAACCTCTACACTGAATATGTAAAACACCCAAAAACATAAATACCTGGATTTTTTTTTCTACAGTGAATTGTTTGTTACAGTGCAGAGATTTAAAAAAAAAATTGGTTTCACATTTTGTATTGCTTGTATGTTTTTTGTTTTTGTTTTTTGTAAATATTTAGTCTGTTGATCAATCCTTCACAAATTCAGACAATTCATAAAACCACTTGGGGACCATTCCTTTTTCACTTGTCTGCATAATCACTTTGTGCTAAACTGTGTATAAAAGACATTGGTCTATTCAGTGGTGAGACATACACAAAGCAGACATACATGTGTATATAGTCTCCTTTATAATTGGCACTTAACATTGGGTCAGGACTCCTGTGGGCTAATGTGTGTCTGTGGTTGGCTCACAGCAGCAGGTCATCCACCTACTTCAAAGTGTGCAGGCCTCTTTGATCAGCTCCATTGTGCCCATAATTAAGTCAATGCAATGAATTACTAAAGACAAACAAAACAACCTGCTGTTTCTCTGAACGACTGATTAGAGCAGACAGACTAACTCCAGTCAGATGAAAAAGTGTATGTTTCATTTAAAGTTAAATTTATTTGACATATATTTATACTATATAATAGATCTTTGCAAAGGTTTGTTGGATGCAGATTTGAGCAATGATTTGCAAAGTTAATGTTATTATCTCTTCAGTTCAATGGGAGGCAGTGTTATCCAAATGTTAGAATTTTAACATTTTTTTTTTCTGACCATGCCCTCTGTGCTTCTAATAACTCCTCAAAAGAAATATTAAAACAACAGAATAGAAAGAGCTCATTTCATTTCACTGCACGTTGTATTTCTGGAACCAATCAAAACAGCGTCCTGTCACCTCGGCCAGTCGGACACAGACGTCCCTGAACATTGAATTTTTGCACTAACAAGCCAATTCTGGAATAAACTAAAACTGAAAAGTTTCTGTGCCTTAATGAATGTGCTGTCCACACCGTAATTAATGACAGACGAAATGCACACTGTGTCTGAAAATGCCCGAGAGAGTGCCAATTTAGACCCGTGATGATAGAAGCCTATTGTTGCTTTGGTATTATTAAAGGCACCTCTACAATTAGAGCATACAGTCACTTGTTTCAGACAATTAGACTGTGAAACCTGTTGAGTGGACGCAGCGCACGAGGGAAATCTATTACAGCATTATCCGCCTCCACGCACTGATGACCGTGTGTCATTAGAATAAATCAAAACCAAAGGACACCCAAAGGAACAATCACATATTTGTCCTTTTCATTTTTAAAGAAAGACCAAGACAGATCTTCATCTAAAGAAAACTATAAAATCACTGTCTAATTTAAACTGACCACTAAAACCTCATACATACGCTTTCATTCTCTCTGCACGGTGATGCCCACGGTGTATCGTGTTTGAATAGGGACAGAGCAGATAGTACTGTCAGTTATAATGTACTTCAGAATATCTTATCAGAACCAATTACTGTACGCACACAGAGAAGATGTTTGCTCTCACATAAAGACATGTGCTGCTGTCAGCCATAGATGATTTTGAAATGAAAGGTAGAATGCCGTTTTCATAGTTTTATCACAATGGTCCTATTTAGCATATAGGCTACTCCCTAGGGAACCACAAAAAGATGAAGTGGATGCATTTGATGGTGAGTAGGTTACAACAAATATCTCTTTACGCACGGCGCAACGTGGTCAAGTGCGTTTTACGCATCACATGAAAAAAGTTGTCAGACTTACCGAGAGAGTTTCCAATGAGTGAAACAAAGAAGATAATGATGTACGCCACAATAAGCACCCATTCATACTGTTTGGGATGGAGGTACTCTTTCCAAATATATCTGAGAAGTTCGTCGTCATCGTCTAGGTTCGGGTGCGGGTGCAAGTCCAAGCTGCTGTTGGCCACCTGCCCGGGGGAGAAGCAGTCTGTGCACACACTCTCCATACTGTCAGTGAAGCCGGTATAGTTCCTGCCGCAGGTACTCGCGCGTCTGCACTGGTCGGAGGTTGGAGATAGGATGGAGTGAGGAGCGCGCACCACCGCACCGTGTGAATGACGCTGTTATGCGCAGAGCGTACACAAGGGTCAGACGTAGCACCGTGTTAGATGGCCAAAGACAGAATTCTTCAGCTGGCTCCTACACTCCACAGCGACTAAATCAGTCAATATACTGCACGGTGAAAGACAATAATCCTTTGGAAATTAGATGTCTTCTCCCAAGGGGTCTCTCAGTAATCTCAACGCATTCTATGTCACACAGGAAACAATGGTCTCCTTATGGTAATAACATGCAGTCTCAAATATATCAGGATGGAAGGGTCAAAACTACTGCTGCAAATATTCAAGTGTCCAGTTCACTGGCCTTAGGACTAAAACTTATTGCCTATCTGGGTCTATTTTGTGCTGACCTGCTTCAAGTGATTCTGGTCAGTCTTTAATGAAGTAGACTATTTTAAGTATTGCTTGAGGATTTCACACAAATCCAAAGTTCTGATAACAGCTCCAAGTAGTGTAGACTGTCCAAGGCAACTATCCCATCTTGCCTTGAACTGTGTAAAGTGATTTGTATGTTTGTGCGTTGTAGTTCCTTATGAATGGAAAATACCAAGCTTAAAATAACACATGAAAAACAGACTTTGACTGGCATTGGTGATGTTTTAGATTCTGTGTAGCTCTCAACCACAGGTCTTAAGGGAGTGGTGCATAAATATCTCAGATGCAAATACAGTTTACAATTAAGCTCCTTTAATAATATACAGGTTTCATGGCCAAAGCACCGTATTGTATTATATAAGTAAGGCTCTCCTGACACCATTCTTTCCACTTATCCAGGATAACACAGGCTTAAACCCCTTTTCTTACAGTGACATTGCCAGATAAATATTATATGGAAACCTGATTTGCTCTCAGACTTATATTGTTTAATATTTGCAGCACTATAAAACAACAACAGCAACAACAACAATAACAACAGCAACAATAACAAAAAAGAAAAAACTGTTTTACAATGAACTGAAACATGCAGACATAAAGTAGAACATACTTTTGGCAGCAATATCCAACTGCACAAATGGTAACTTAGAAACCAGATCAAACAGATCAGTTGTTGTTTACTTTTACTGTGGCATGTTGATCCTCTGAACGTCACCATCTGGGTCACTCTGGTGTCATCAGCACTCAATGACAAGTCTATAACCACCAAAACAGCCTTATGCTAAGTGCAGTCTCCGGTCTTAGCACCCTTAACCTGAAATATAGCTCAAATACAGCTTTAAATTCTGCTCACTGGGCTGCTCTATAAACAGTCTCTGATGAACGCTTGGCAAAATGGCCTCTCCCTGAAGAAAGATTTGGTGTCATCTCCGGGGCATAAATTGCACTTTCAAATGGGGACATAGGGCTGAGTGGAGAAATGGAGGAGTTTGTGAGACTTTTTGATACGTAAAACAAACTTATAAATAGAAAGTTAAACATAGGGTATGTCGGATGCACTATTACTGGTGTTAAAGCAATAATATTTATTTGATAATCGTCTTGGGAACCAAAACAACAAATGAAAACAACTTGAGTATCATGTACATAGCAGCTGTAAAGCTCACCGCACATCACAGCATGTTTATATAATTAAGAATAAACCAACTTCTCAATGATTACCAGTAAAATAAATATTGGATTTGAACATGTCTACATTTAATGTGGACACACAGGTGTTTGTGCACTTTAAAGGTTCTATATACTCTTTTAGCTTCAGTTCATGTTAGAACATTGTTACCTCATCATAAAAATATCACTGCGGTAGATCACACAATAGCAAATCATATTACTTTAATAGTTAAGATGTCAGGGCTATGAACTTTCTTTCTCACACATTTCTTACACAAAACCTGCCCTTTTAATAATCCTTAACAATACAACACATTTTATTCCAGCTGGACTCAAAGAAAATACAGATAATGGTTTATTTTATTTTATGTCAGTGCTAAACCAGGAAAATTAGAAACCATAAGAGACAGATGACTAACTGTTGTTGAGAGCATGTGGGAAAAAGGGAAGAGCTCTGTAAATGCAATGAATTCTAATATGCTTTCTATTATGACATAAATGAGATAAACAATAATGTATTCAACTTTTCTTTTTTTCTTTTTCTTTTTTTTTTTTGTCAGTCCCTCACATTAAAAAAAAAGGAAAAAAAAAAGCCTGAAACTAAAGCTTTTTGTTATTAAAAATGAGGCGGGCAGAAAATCAAAATACTCTGAGGGGATGTGTTCTTTGTCCAATTTTAAATGAACAAACTCATCTCTAACTCATTCAAGTGTCTTAGCAATCCTTCTTTTATTATTCAAATTGGGCACGCAACTGCACTGCGCTTTTTTTGGGTTGATGACACCAATCCCCAAGTACAGAGTCCAAGTAGTGTGCGCTCAAATTGTTTGGATAATCTTTGAGGGTGAATTAGTAGAATACACAATTATGATTTCTCGCGTACACGACAGTGTCATCTCCCAGTGTCAACTTGGGTAACAAATACTTTAAACCTTTTTGAAGTCTGGCTGCTTAATTTCCTGTTGTGTAAAGATGTTTAACAATGAAGAGATGTTTTCTTTGTCAACTTCAATTCAGTCCTTCAGTCAATAGCTAAATAGTTTTTGAATCTCTGAATGACTAACAAATAAGATCCTGTCAGATTTTATGCAGCTCAGCCTTGAGTACAGCAATAAACACAAAATGTTAACAGTCAAAATACAGAACTGTAATGTGTGAAAACAAGAATGTTTGAACATATTAACTGAAAGGCATTTGTCCAATTTCCAATAGCATTTTTCACACAAAATCACAAAAAATATAATTATATATGTGCATTTTTAAAGTAGCCATATTATGCTCTTTTCTGATCAATGGTATAATGTTGCTTCCTCATCACAAACATACCTGGAGTTGTGTTTTTATTTGTTTCATTCACCCATGTTTAATTCACATATCCGGCATATTTAGTCTGAGTTATTCTCTCAAACAGACAAAACTCAGTTCCACCTTGTGTCTGTCATGTCAGGAAATACAGGAAGTGCTCCTGTACTGTACTGTGTTTTAAACTCCATACACCTTCTGTTAACAGGAAAACTATCGCTTCATGACATCACAAGGTGAAATAGAGCATTTTGAGCTTTGGAAATGTAGACAGACTAATATCTCAAAAATATGTGAATATTTTTGTTGAGGCAACAACATTATAATGTGGCTTAAATCTCACAAGAATCCACTTTGTGTAATATGGAACCCTTAAAGACAAACTACTACCAACAAAGCCAGTGAAAACATAAAAAGCAATACATAGATTTTCACAAATTATAGTTTTAAAGAATCTTTTTTGACGGCTAAACATACCTATCCAGCCCCGCTTGTCCTCATTATTTAACAGACAAGGGGTTTTCAGATGTGACCCTCTCGGTTTGAACTGAATTTGCGTATTTAATTTGCATTTTTTACTCACTATAATTTGTGGCTGTCAGTGATTTTGACAGCACTGGCTTGTGAGAGCTTTCATAACCTGACAGATTACTCTGTTAATGTAGAGCACTTCCCATTAAACACTTTGCGTCACTGAGACTGTCTGTCATGATAAAACCCTAATCATGGCAATAATTTAGCCAGAATTAGGGCTATGGCACAGTTTTAGGGGGAAAAAAGTGATGTTTCTGACATATATTACAATGGTGTTTGGATTTGTGACTTACATATTTAAAAATGTAATATTCTTTTCATAGTGCTCATTTCAAACACATCTGGAATCTGAACTGATAAATTATAAGATCTAATCAACAATAACAGTTTTTTTTTTCAGTGAACCTTATATTCTTCTTCTCAAACCGCCATTTGTGCAGACCAACCAAGCAATTCTTAAAACTGTAATCTTTATATTACAGTATTATTGTGGTTTATATATACTTGCATGTATTTATTCATTAATTTGCATGTGATGTGATCTGGCATAACATTATAACCTCTGACAGCTGAAGTGACTAACAGAGAGCTTGTATTTTATTTTAGGTACGGTGTGTTAGCAGGGTAACAGTTGGTCTTCAAAGCTGAAAAAATTAGAAACAAAAGAGCAGTCACTTGATGTTCAGGATTCTGACATCTCTGCAGCTTGTCTCCCATAATCACAAAGACTGCACATTATAGAGGTCAAAAATTAATGTTCCACCTGATCTATACTCAACAGTACTCAAATGCAAGTCCATGTGATCCCCTCATATAAATGCTTTGGCAGTGCATTTGTGGAGCCTAGTCTTTTGGTCTTGTTCCCAATGCAGTGGAGTGCTCTTCATTGCTTCTGCCAGCCATCTCTGTACTGTGTTTGCATTTTGACAGACCATTATTTTCTCTGTTTATACTTTGCTATCGGTCTTTATGTATTTTTTATATTTGGTGTTAAAGGTGCATTGCTCAACTTTTCTGGTGGCGTGTCTCTCACCTGCTTGTCTCCATGGAGATGTTATTATTTTGCCTGCAATTCCACAGTATGACATTAACATTATTCATTACAGGTGTTTCTATTGCTCAAAAATACAATAATTCTTGCCTCTCCATAGATATGACCTGTAATGTAGCCTATAGTTGTCTCCCTGGAGATAGATAGGTTTAATCCATACTGTGAACATTCTAGCAATAACATCTCCATCAGAACAAGCAGGTGATGGACCCTCCATGAGAAACATTACACAGTGCACTTTTAAGGACAGTGTTGGGAACTAACGGAATACATGTACTGAGAATATGCATTCTGAATATTAATTTTGACTTAGTGTATTCTGGTACAGTTACTTTTTCATTTGGTGGTATTCAGAATAAAAAAATAAAAAGGGGTTATTAATACTATGTTGCATCTTTACAGTAATTTAAATTCAACTTGATGTAAACGTATTCAGGTATGCAAAATACAGTACTCTGATTGGACCATGTATCATTACAAAGTACATTTTAATTTGTGTGTTTTGTATTCTGTTACTAAATACATTTTAAAAGTATTCTTTCCATCACTGCTTAAAGACAGACAGGAGCATGTTTCAGACTTATCACAGCATATAGTACAGAATATAGACTATAGGAAAAACATAACAACATAGATAACATTTCTAGATGAGAAAAAAAAATGATATGAAGGTACATAAATGTAAATATTCCACCCCAAACACATTCTTTTACTGGTGAATGGCTGTTAATGTGTATCAAATAAAGCCCTGAGCCAATCATGGGCAGTTTCATCATGTGCCAAGCCCAAGTGGAAAATATCCATTAAAGGAGTGGCCATTGATCAGGTCCTTTCCTCAAGTCATAACATCAATCACTGAACTCAAGAGGCCAAAACTCCTTACAAATTATCAAAAATAAAAATAGAAAGAGACACCACAGGACAATTGTGTGATAGTTGATAGCCTGAATATTGCGTAATAAAGTGATCAATAGTAAATCCAGCCACAAGGGGTCAGTACAGAGACCAGTACAGAGACAGAAACAGAAGCTTGGTTTTTGTTTCATTCTCAACAGAAAATCTTTACAAGTAAGAAAGAGAGTAAATGATCAACAAAAGTGTAGCCTTTTTATTGGTGGGTGTGATCGAAGGAGGCAGTATAGGTGTATCCATAGGAA